TCACTATGTATTAATCAATAATGAGAAAATAAAATCGCACGACATCTCCCTTCGTGCTTTAACACTCTCCCTTACCCTGTAGTTAAGACAATATACATTCGAGAGATAAATAGTGCGGAGAATGTGTTTTGCGTCCAATATGATTCCAAAATACCAAATCTCAACTTCCAAAAATATTCAACCATTACCAACTAAGCAATAATTATGGAAGAAATGATCAAATAAGTAATAATCTAATTTAAGCATGGATATCATAAATAAGAGGAAACAAATCACAAGGAAACAAGTTCCACCGGCATGCTTTATCCTACAACAACACATAATTGCTCGTCACCTCACATATACGTTGTACCCACACGTTAATCACGTAGCAAATAGGCAAACAAGTCCTAATCCCTCAAGTCAAGGTTAATCACGACACTTACATCGCTCCACAATCAAATCAAGGATCAACCGGGGCCTTTCCTCTAAAATCCTCCTCCAAACCAATCGAATCTAACTAAATATCATTCAAACAATCCAAAATAAGATTTAGAAACTACCCATGAGTGAAAGAGGTTCAATTTAGATCATCATTGAAGAAAGTCAACAAAAGTCAATCCCCTGGCCCGCTTGGTCAAAATCAAAATCCGGACCAAAACCCGATTACCCATTCACCCTCGAGCCCGATTATGTAGTTTATTTCAAAATCCAACCTCAATTCGAGGTCTAAATTTCAAATTTACAAAAATTCCTAATTCTACCCAAATCCCTAATTTCTACCATGGAAATCCTCGATTTGATGTTGAAAGCTTATGAAATATAATGGTTAATTGAAAATAGATAGACTAAACTTACTTTACTAATGAATATAGGAAGAAAATCTCTTGGAAAAATCGCCTCTAGGGTGTTTAAGGTTGAGAGTTTGAAAGAAATGAGCTAAATCCAGTTTTCCCCCTCTTTTGTCCAGGCTCAGATTTCGCAATTACGACATGGGATTCGCAATTACGGACCCCGCAAATACAAAAAAGTCCTCGCAAATGCGAAGATTCCATTCTTGAAAGCACCTAGATCTACGAATCGGACACAAAAACAAGTGAAATATTCAAAGAAACTTAAGAACTTTCAATTTCCAACCGGACGTCCGAATCATGTCAAATCAACTCCGTTTCGCACCAAATTTTGCAGATAAGTCATAAATACTGAAACGAACCTATAACAAGTTCCAACCAAAATTCAAACCCGGTAGCAATAAAGTCAAACTATGGTCAAACTTACGAATTCTTTAAACCATTAGATTTCTAGTTTTCAACAAATTGCGTTTGTTCAAGCTAGGGACTTCAGGATTCGATTACGAACATATGTCCGAGTCCCAAATCACGATACAGATCACCGGGACCGTCAAAACACTGATCCAAGTTCGTTTGCTCAAAACATTAATCGAAGTCAACTCAAATGAATTTTAAGACACGATTTCACATTTTCATCAATTTTCTCATAAAAACTTTCTGGAAAAAGGACATGGGTTGTGCACGTAAATCGAGGAAGGCTAAACATAGCTATACGAAGTCTCGGAACAGAAAAATGAAGGGTATAACTATAAATGACCTATCGAGTCATCATAGTCCAATCTTTCCATAGTTTTGGCAATTACCTTTGAACTTCTTCTTGCTCGGGTAATTCTTTGGACCAGACGGCTTCTTTCTCTTTCTATTGCTTCTAGACGCTTTCTCAACAATATTTGCTCCCATTATTGTTGAGTTACCATGAGAATTCTTCTCAGCAGCCTTATTGTCCTTTTTAATCCGTAGACGAACAATAAGGTCTTCAAGCGTCATCTTCTTGCGCTTACGTTTCAAGTAATTCTTAAAGTCCTTCCACAGCGGAAACAACTTTTCAATAAATGCCGCAACTTAAAGCGGTTCATTTATGACCATACCTTCAATCATAAATTTACAATTAGTAAAATAATTAATATCTTGAATAAAAATATTGACTCGATTTATACCTTCAACAAGGAGGTCATGGACAGTCACTTGCAATTCTTGGACTTGCGTTATGACAGATATTGCCGTCAACCATTTTAAAATCCAGAAATTTGGCGGCCACAGACTTCTTAAGTCTAGCATCTTCAGTCTTGTACTTTTTTTTCAAAAGCATTCCATAACTCTTTTGATGTTTTCATGAAGCTATAAACATCATACAAGCCGTCTTCCAAGCAACTTAAAATATAATTTTTGCATAAGAAGTCAGAATGCTTCCATGCCTTTGTGACCACAAATCACACATATTAAAAAATTTCCAATGCCAAAGTCCTGATGATTTAGATTAGAATATCACCTTAGTTTACTTTTTATTTATTTATTTTGAAGATGTTCTCTACTTCATTTAGATTGTACTTTCACGATTATGAGATTTCAATATTCTAATAAAGAATTTTTTTTGGCTTTCTTTAATATATTCTCCAACGTCAAACCAATTATAGAGCCACTTTGCGCAAAACACTTCTCTCCTTTTCAGCGGTCAACTCAAACAAAGTTGAGAAAGATGGTATTTCTTTTACCATACATAAAAAAGGTGGTTGAATAAAGCTAGGTGTGACAATGGTTGATAAGGTAAGATTAAAAAAAGAAAGAAAGTCTAAGAGCATAATTGACACATTCACAGAAATTGGAGGACCCCATAAATCTTTTAACTAAAGTTATTGCTAATCTTGTTTGCTTTAGATGCCCTCCATTCCTTTCTTTCACAAGGAGAAGTGTCTATTTATTCGTTTTTTGGAACAGAAAAAGCTTTTGACACAATAAAAGGAATGGTTTTAGGATGACTCTATGACGTTAATTTGACAATATTGCAAGTTTCCTCCCTTTCGAATATATTATGAAAATATTTAGTCGGAATAGTGGATATCTAATGATTAAATGCAAATTTCTCAGGTTAATATCAGAAATAACATGATTTACAACTGCTCATTAAAAATTAACAATAGTTTCAAAAGTAATCGAAATTTAGCCATTTTTTATATAAAAATAAAATCTGAACAAAAAAAAACCCTTAAAAATCCGGAAAAATCCAATATAATATGTTGGATTTCGAATTTTTTTTACATATGAAATGTACTGGAATTTTGTAATGTTTTGGAGTTCCAACATAATATGCTGGAAGTGTACACGCAGAAGCTTCATAACATATTATGCTGGAACTTTCCGTATTTCAGCTAGAGTATTTTTGTCCAGATTTTATCTATGCATAAAATAGTGGCTAATTTTTAATAACTTTATAAATAATAACTATTTTTCAATTACCAGTTCGAAAATTGGCTAACCCATACTATTTTGACAAATTTCTCGTCCATATAAACCCAATACCGCTTTTCATTTTTCTCAAACAGATAATAAAAGTATGTAATCAAATTCATGTGTTGATTTTCAACATGAATTCTGAGTTTTTTTTTTCCTTTTATAAGCTCCATGCATGTGGCCTCATAAAGAGAATGACTATTTCTTTGTGAGTAGTTTAACTTTAAAATTTTATTTTGTTCTTAATCAAAAGATTTTAACCATACAAATATTGTATAAAATGTTTAAGGCTACAAATTTTATAAGTTTTATAAGTTATAACTACAAAACTATAACGACATATTTAATACCTTGAATTTTACAAGTATTTTCTTCTTTAATTTTCTATGAAATTAAAAATTATGTCACATAAATTAAAACAGATGAAATATATATAAAAACATAATCGCATAGTTTTCCTAGATAATAGGCTTGTGCTAAATGGATTTTCTAGTCAGATGATTTTCAACTCTCTCCGGTCCCCAATAAGTGATTTTTGGCTTTTTATTTGCGGTCCAAAATAAGTGATTTTTTCGGATTTCAAGAATGAATTAATTATTTTTTTCCTACATTGCTCTTGGAGTAAATAGTGTTAGAGTATGTGTTAGGAGTATTTATGAAGACATAGTAAAGGTAAATATGGTCAATTTTATTACTAATTAATATTAAAAGGAAAATTTATTAATATGTGTGAAAAGAGCCAAAAAAATAACTTATTTTGGACCGAAGCGAGTAACACAAAAATGCAGTGGAACTCTCTTCAGTAAATCCATTGGCCATCGACAGCTCAAGTTAAACCAAACTCGACAAATTCCTTAGGGGTCGTTTGGTTGCCGGTTAGAGTTATGCAGGTATTAGTTATACATGTATTAGTTATGCAGGGATTAGTTATGCAGGGATAAGTAATGCATGGATTAGTTATGCATGTATTAGTTATGCAGAGATTATTTTTTTGAATGTTTGGTTTGTTGTATTAGAAATTCATATACATTATATAAATTTTAAAGTAAAATGCTTGTTTACAACTATACCCCTGACCTTCTTTTGCATTGTTTTTTCTCTCTTTCCATTTATGTAGGAAACAATTTAGTTAGGAACTTTGGGTGTTACTTTCACTTCTTCGTTATACTACTGAACTATGTGAAGTTTAGACATATTTGATTTTCACTTCTTAGTTTTGGTATTTCCATTTTCTAGTGGCTTCTCCAGTTTGCTTTTGCTAGTTTGTTCTTTAAAAATGAGAGAAGACAAGGTATATAGTTGGCAAGTGAAAGCAAGTGAAACCTGTTGACGGGTTGGCAGAGAAATAAGGAAGCCTTATGTGTAAAGTGATCGGGGTAAATTTGTCATTTCAGTATTTTATCCATGTATTACTAATACATGTATTAGTTATTCCATCTTCTACCCCGCATAAAATAATACACAGATTGACTCATAACTTATACATGTATTATTTATGCATAATTGAAAAATGTCAACCAAATATGGTATTAGTTATGCAGAATTTTATACAAAATAACTATTGCCTACCAAACATGGTATAAGTTATGTTACCCTTTATACATGAATAACCTTTGTTCTAGCCAGCTACCAAACCACCTCTTATTGTTTTACACAATCATATTCTCCTCAAAACGACGTCGTTGCTCTCCACATATAACCCCCTCTCTCCTGGAAACTCTCCCCAGCTCTATTTCCGGGCGTGCGCCACAAACAGCTCTGTTTTTGACGCTTACTTTTTACCTATTTCTTCTTACCAACACTTTTTTTTTTGTTGTTGGGTAAAGCACCTTCTTATCAACAGATATATTTTAATTAAGGAAAAAAGAAAAGATCTTTTTAATCTGGGTTTGATCCCAGCATGTGCAGATCGAAAATACACCTGGATTCATTCATTATTGGATGATTTATTGATTTGGGAAAATTAATTTTGCTCATTTTTGGGTGAAAAGTTTCTCTTTTTGGTGATAAATATTGGAAGAAATATTTGGAAGATATGGCATCGCATTTTGATCGATGGGAGAAAGATCCGTTCTTTTCTGCTGCAGAAGAGGTTCAAGAATCTGCCGACAGGTAAATACCTTTTTTCCGTTTTAATTCCCATATTTTTCTACTTTGTTTTCGTGGGTCTGCGTTGATTTTGTTAGAATCATCATTTAAGTTGGTGTTTTCTTGTATTATCTATGAATTATTGATGGTTAGTGATGCAAAGGTTTAAACTTTATTGGTTTTGACATGTGGGGTTTTGTATTTTTCACTGACAATGACATAGATTTTGTTTTCAATTTCAAGAATGGAATCAACTTATAGGACATGGATTCATGCGTTGAAGGATACTTCAGGTAGTTGGAATTGCGACGCGCTTCGCAGGGACCTTAGGACTACCCTTGGCACTGCTAAATGGCAGGTAGGTACCCCCAACCCCTTAAAAAATGAAGTCAAGAAGTGATTTTATTGTGTATATATCTTGTGTAAGGGATATTATTGGTGTATGTGCACAAAGGGTAAGAGCTTAGTTTAATTTGTTGGATGGAATTGCAATGCAGTTGGAGGAATTTGAACGGGCAGTTAGATCGAGCTACAATAGTAATTCTGCTGATGATGCAAGAGATAGACACCACGAATTTGTTATTGCAATCGACAGTCAGATTAAGAAAGTTGAAAATTCTCTTAATGAATCAGCTGTTTCACAAGGCAAACCACCACTTCCGTGGGTGCGCTTGGATGAGGGAGAAGTCGATGAACTTGCTGCATTTCTATCTGGGCCGTCCACTTCTTCTGCGGACATAAATTATGCAAAAGTACATGGAATAGAGCTGCAAACAGCCAAGTCCGAAGAGGTTGCAAATCAATCATTGCTAGAGTGTTCAGAGAATCCTCCTCATTCAGTGGATGGTGTTCGAGGTGAGGCCATAGACGAGAAGTTTCTTGGCCACCGGAGAACAGCAAGTGCTAGTGCTGACATTGGTGCATGGCAGATTGCAGTCGGTGATGATATCTCCGTCAAAGAACCTGCACCACCTCCTCGCAAAATGCCCAGTTACCAGGGATTGTTGAATGCCGTGGAATCTGTTAAGGAGTTAAAATGGTCCAAGAATGGTTACAGAAAGTTGAAGTCCAACCAAGATTATCACCAAGAAGCTGACAATATATTGCCGCGGACTCAGCCACTGACAAGGGTGATATATTGTTCTTACAGTATCCAAATTTGGAGTACATGACTTTCTTTGGACCATTTTATATTATTACAATGTCGAAATTCTCATTATTTTGTGTTATTAATATCAGTTAGTTCAATACTTGAAAATGGGAATCTGAACAAGTAAAACTACAAAATAACCCTGTCTATACATACTCAAAGTATGTCCATAAAAGATCATGATTAGTATTTTGACGGTTTAACTTAAAGCTCCAAACTATATAAAATCAGTTGGACCGTTAAAAAAGAACTATATTCATTCAGTTGGCACAAGTGGAGTATTTATCAATGATCCAGAAATAGTCTTATATTTTTATATCAATAAATGATGTTAATGTAATGGGATATTGCTTTTACTGCAGGGCGTAAACACATGCTATGAGAGGAATAAGAGTTGCCTTGATGGTTGTGATGAATGTTATGATAAGCAACTCTATGGTTGGTATGGTGCCATTCAGCGCCAGCTGCAAAGGTCTCAGTATTACATGCAATATCGTCGACCTGTTCGAATAGTTTTCTCAGTGTTTCTTCTCATTTTCCTGATTGGTGAGTCTGCTAACTGACTCTTCTTTCATCAATTAACCTTTTGTTGATTCTTTCACCTAGAAACAGCTTTTGAAGAACTAAGAAAAAAAAAATCTTATTGTGTATTGTCTCGCTGCTGAGGTTTATCTTCATTTCTTCTGGATTGGGAAAATTATCAATAGATATTGTTGAGATATCTGGATCACAAGATCCTATTCGGTAGCTAGACTAGATAACTTGTGGTCTGTGCCATAGATGCTTCAGTTTCAAACCTTTTTCCCTGTTTTGAGCTTGCTTGCGGTGATTATTATTTTAGGTTACCGATTCTTCTATTTCCCAGTGGATAGAAGTCATTCATATACAACATATAGAACTATTAATTACTATGAAAAAGCTCCAAGTGGGATCTCTGTGGATACAATTATTAAAATAAGAGGGCCGTTTCTCTCAAGTGTATATTGGATTGAAAGTCATTTACAGCAAATTATCACAGCCAGTTGTCATAAAAGCTGGAAGCTTTCCTCCACCTAGCAGCCTTTGCCAAAACAGAGAACCGACTTTCCTTGTAGTGATGATATTTGTTCATCTAATCTAAAATCAACCACAATTTTTTCTCTTCATGCTCAGTTACATAATAGCTCGAGCAAAAACTTGAATTTTCTTTTTTTGGTTTGTTCATTTATCTAACTTGCATTTTTTCTTTTTTTCTTTTTGGCTGAAGTCTTGCTGTAGTGATTAAGTTCATGACATATGTCAGCCAATACTGGCTTGTTGCTTTCTTAACTTATTTTTATCACTGGTACCGTTCATTTATAATAGTTCCCTCTACAAAAATTTTAATTGATTGGGCCTTCTAAAAAAAGGCTGCCTTCTCAAAATTTTTATGGATTGGAGTGAAGGGTGTTAGAGCTCAGTCTGCATTTACACTTGTCTTCTGCTAAAGTGCTAATAAAGTTTTACCCAGTGCCTGAAGTGCTACCAGCCCCTGCTGGGTAGGGGGGAGTGGGTGTATGCCATATGCAGCTTCCCCTTATATTTCTATGAAGAAGCTTCGAACCCATGGCCTATAAGTTACCAAAGGAGCAACTCTACGGTTATGCAAAGGCTCTCCCTCCAGACTTGTCTCCACTAGAAAGGGAAAAACTTCTCAAAGTGTATAGTGTCAATTCTCTTTTGAGCAAGATTTGCATTATTGGGAAGTATACTTATCGTCTGTTTAGAGTTTGATAAACTGGATTCTATTTTTTCTTTTCTGGTGAAAGCTTTCACGGGTTCCACTCCTTTACTTTTCTTTTCGTCACAGTATGACTAATGATAATCGGAATGGCCTTGATTTACATCTTGTTTATGTACAAGAGGCAGCAAGATAACACAGTGAGGTTTCTGAGAGAAAGTTTCAGTAATAAAGGAAGACAAAAAGTTGGACTTTCTTTTGTATAAATTTGGTACTTGCACCAAGTAAGAGAGTGAGGAAATTAGTCAAAAGGTAATTACCTTTTTTATCCCCGTAATTTTACTGGATTGCAGCTTTTCCATTAATTAAGCTCCTTTCTTTGATTCTGCTACAAGCCCCTAATAGATATTCCGCAATAGAGAGGTCTACTGAACAGAAAACCTTTTTCTCCTTACGGTCGCTCCTTCCAACCAAAAGAAAGAAAAAGAAGAAAGATTACCTGCTTTGTAGATTCACATGCATTATTTCCTGTGTAGAATAGCAGCCAGTATCCGCAGACACCAAAACAATTAGTGACTTCACAAATCGACTGCCACATCTGTGATGGGTTCCCAACTATCATCATTTTGTGGTTGTCTCTGTAGTAAATGCCACTGAATCTTTAAATACGTTATTGAGTTTGCTTCTTGCCTTCTCGCCTCCCCCTAACAGGACCAAAAGAGCATCATAAAATATTGATGCAAAGTACAGTGGTGCAGAAATTCTCATTCCGGATTACCTCAGACATCAACCTCACCACCACTATCTAATTTACTTATACATGTTTGCAACACAGTGCTCATTAATGATTAAACTATGATGTATGCTTTTTCTTGATTGGTTCTGTCTGCTAGTCTCTCCCCCATTGTTCCAATGTAGTAATACACTTTACTTTAATCATTTTGTGCTCATGTTGACCTATTAAATTAGAGAGAGTTGAGCATGGGCAGACTGTAGCCCTCTTTACACTACACAAAGTGCTTATCTTCTGGTTGGTGGTTGTTTTCCATTCTATTTTCTCAGCCACATGTGTTGGTTAAAAGAAATAGAAGTAGCTCTTTACCCGGTACCCGGGCTGTTGGGAGGTAGCAGGTACCCGGTCAAGTAGTCGAGGCGCGTGTAAGCTGGCCCAGATACCACCTTTCTTGAGAAAAATGAAAAAGAAATGAAAGTAGCTTTTTATGGTCTTGTTGAAGCAACCAATTTGAAAATTGGTAGGATGTTTGGAATATTGCCACTTCTTTTTTGAATACTAATAAGTATAACCCAACCTACCTTAACATCTCTGGTATAGTGTATGCTCTTTATTTTTGAATTCTATAGTATTATGTAGAGCTATGTTATGTATATTTTACAATATTTGGCCTTGTATATATAGTGTATGCTCGTATTGGTGATGCATTGTTACAGCAGTTTTACATTGAAACCGTGTCTCAGTCACACATATATCTGAGTTTCATTTGCTAGCTAGGTGTCTGAATAATTATTTTTTCCTGCTGCAGTATTAGTTGCAGTCCATACAATCTGAGCGATGAGCCATTGTTTGTCTCCACGCAATCAATAAGGTTGCAGCGTTGAAAAAAATCTGAGGAGAATGGCCTAGTGCAATCAGTTTTGGCATTACCTTAAAGAGGAAAGGTGTAATTATGTCCAGGACATGGCAAAGGTGGTGCTGGTATCTCAACATACTTGTACTAATACCTTAACCTCTTTCCTGGCTCCTAATCGGCGGTGATATTTAATGGAGGCCAAATTCTGTTGTATTATGATATGAATGTTGTGGATTGCAGGTGGTGTTGATTCAGTACTGCATCCACAAAAATGAAAGAGCTTAGTTGTATTTGACTTGCTAAATCATGTATATTATTGTATTGTCCATCGATTCTGTATGCTTCTACAATGTGTGTTTTTTTTTTTTTCATTTCCTTTTTGGGTTTTAACTTCTTACCATTCTTTTGCCAATTGTGCATATTGCTCATGTCCAAGCAAACTAAAGGCCAGTCCGGTGCTCTAAGTTTCCGCTATGCGCAGGATCTGGGTAAGGGCATGACTACAAGGGTCTATTGTACACGGTCTTACCTTGTATTTCTGCACGAGGCTCATGTCCAAGTAAACTAAACACATTAATGCACTTGTGTATTGTTTCTTTATTCAAGTTCAACATATTCCTGATGTCAATGTCTAGTATCTAAAATTGAACATAATATTATTCTTGGGTGGATATAGCTATATAGGCAATATGAAATAGAGTTGCTCCTGGGTCCCTAAAATCTTTAATGGATATGTCTTGTGACAAATTTGGACTCACATTCATTGCGCGATTTCATTCCACAATGCTTCATTTCATTTTCTTTTAAATATTTTTTGCAAAGAGTATACTCTTATGATAAAAGTACAAGCACTAGCAACTAACAAGTAGAAAAAGTAGTAGTAATAGTAGTAAAAGTTGCACGGGGCGCCCTATTTGGTCGTCCCATTTAACCTATACCCATTTTTTTTAAAAGTTTTAACTTGTACCTACTTTTTAAACAACTTCAGCCCCCGTTCTCCTCCTTTCCTCCTCAAAGTTTTATCTTTTCTTTTTCCAGAAGTAATGTTCATCCCTATCTGCTTCTTGTTTCTCCGGTGAGTCCTATAAATTTTCAATCATTTTTCCTTTTCGCCGAACACCCTCAGCTATAAAGGTTCTATCTTGGTTTTACAACTTGAATCTTATGCACAATTTTGATGTGAAAATGGGACAAGAGAAATTAATTATTAATTTTATATTGTTGCTTGGTGAATTGGGTCTGGCGGAAATTGGAGATTTCAGTTGTCGATTGGATTGGTAATGTGTTGATGTTTCTTGGTTCCTGTTAATGTTGCTTTAAGTTACTTCGTGTGGGTGCAACATGCCCCCTAGAGCTCTAGAGCTAAAGTTCGCCAGTTACAAAACAAAAACTTCAGCTCTAGAGCTGAAGTTCGACAGTTATGAAACAAAAACTTCAGCTCTAGAGCTGAAGTTCGCCAGTTACAAAAATAAAAATTTCAGCTCTAGAGCTGAAGTTCGCCAGTTACAAAACAAGCTGAAGTTCGCCAGTTACAAAAATAAAAACTTTAGCAATTACAAACAAAAACTTTAGCAAATAGAGAACAAAACTTCAGCTACTATGCTTAAGTTCAGTAATTACAAATAAAAACTTCAGCACACTTGGTTCAGCACACTTGCTACTTCAGTCCCGTCTACTAGAATGCTGAAGTTTTGCGTGATTGTCTTTGCTACTTCAGCCCCGTATGCTGAAGTTACGCGAAAAAGTGGGTACGTTTGCAATTTTTTTTGCAAAGCGGGCACAAGTTAAAACGTGACCCAAAAAACGGATATAGATGCAAATGTCCCGTAATAGTAGTAGTAAGTACACTAAGGGGTTGTTTGGTAAGATTTATTAAGAAAATAATACATGGATTAGCTTTGGTATTATTAATTCTTTGTTTTGTAGTGTTTTTCAACCTATGCATAACTAATGCTTGTATCAAATTATACACCCTATTCAATACTATTCTTGTACATAGCAAACTGTTTGGCTCAAAAGTTAACAATATAATTTGTAAGCTAGAAAACAATCAAAAGTAAGGAAAGGGTAAATCGTAATCAAATATAATAATCCTAGAGATGCAAAGATGATATTATTGTTGTAGATCTAGTATTGCAAAGTGATAATATGAACTCAATAAGATATGTTCGTCTGAGGTAGAGATAGAGAGAGAAAGCCAGAAAATGAGAGAGTTGTATTAGATCAGAATCCCCCTTTTTTACAATGTGAAGGTCTCCTTTATATAATAAGAGACCTTCCTCGAAAGAATCAAAAAGTTACAAAGACAGGTAACGTCTTCCTAGTGAAGACACTGAGTCCTAAACGATGTCGCTTTTGTCCCCGCGTCCGAGTCGTACCCGCTACGTTAGTCGGCGTACACTCACTGGGCGTACCCTCTGGCGTAGAGATGCTGACGGTCAAATTTGACCCCATAGACAAACCATCAGATTATCAATACATGATTTTTAATATATGTATAAGCATGTATAAAGATAAAACTGTCCTTTCAAACCTTTAATACACCAAACCAAATGGTAGATAAGGAATAATCAAAGCATAACTAATCCTAGCATTATTAATCTCATCATTACTAATACACCATATTCAGTACTATTCTTATACCCTACCAAACGATCCCTAATTTCAATTTGTTAACATTAACCTTTTAGCAAAACTGTCATTTCATATTAAAATTTTGAACAGAAGCTCTGGAAATGAAAATGATGGTGTACTTTCAACTCTCTCAACAAGAATAACACTTTACACCAGCTTTCTTGGATGATCAATAAGGAAATTAAGAATTCAATTTCCCAAATCACCTCTCTCTTAACAATCCAAAGCCTCCATTTTTTTAACACAATTCACAATATAAGTTTTTCCTTTTTTGAAGCAAAAACAAATTATTAATGAAAATCAGTGTTCTGGGAGCTCAAAGCTGGAGATTTCCAGTGAGATAGCGATAATAGAGGAAGAAGGCAGCAATCAAGAATGGCACAAAGTACTCAACAAAAATCATATACTTGGGCTGGGAATCCTCTTTGATCACAAAAGCTTTCATTTCTTTGGCCTTTGGTTCTTTGAAAGAATCAGTAACTAAGTTGAGATCAAGCTCTGACTCATCTGGAATTTTGTAGCCTTGAATATATCCAACTTGGTATTTTAAGAGCAAGTTCTTGGCAGCTTTACTATGCCCAATATCTTCAAACTCTTTAGTAACATCTTTTCCAGCTGATTCAATCAACACTTCTTCTCCTCCAGGATGTTCTTCCAAAAACTTTGTCACGTCTAATACCTGAAGAAAACATAGAATATATTTACATTAACCATGTATCTATGTTGTCATGCATGTATAAATATGGGAATAGGGATAGCGGCGAATCTAGGACGTGTTCTGTGGGTTTAACTAAACCTATTGCTTTGCGTGTGAACTATGTATGCATATGCAAAAACTATCTAAATGTGTAGATATAATAAGATTACACTTATTTTCAATCCAATGACTTATAAGGGGGTCGGGAATTGGGGGGGGGGGGGGGGGCGGGGTAATAGTACTCTGCCATTGATGATGATCCAGCAATCTTGCTTTGACTTGTGTTGTGTGATTTGGGAAAGAGTAAAGACTCTTTCTTTGTCCATTTTCTTTGGGGTGAAAGCTGAGGTTCTTGAGGTGGAATAAATGTATTAGTATTTATAGTGACATCTGGGGATTTATTAGTTTACAAGGAAAAGAGAGTGAAGAAAGGTAGGTAGGTTTCTTCCCATGTGATCATTATCTACCATTTTGTTTCCCCTCCACAACTAGAGACGAGTTGGTGGGTGTAATAATATTCCTTCTATTTATTCTCATTAAGAGTATAATAAGGTAAGAAATTATCTTCTTCCCCCCTCCCCCCAACAAACAATAACGACAACAAAAAACCCAATTCTTGTGGAATCTGGGGAGGGTAATGTGTACACAGACCTTACCCCTACCATGAGGAAGTAGAGAGGCTGCTTGCGGAAGATCCTCGGCTCGAGAAGATGAATAGTATAAAATTGGTTTACCTTATCAGTGATATCAATTATTTACTTTCTCAAGCAACATAAGCAAACAAATTTTACACACTGAAGGAAAAAAGTGATGTCAAATGGTACTAGTCACTACTACATATGGAATTGATGGTACAATACTACAACTTTGACCAATTTAGAAATAGGACAACCAGTGCATCAACAGAAAATGTGTAACAATATTTACTGAGAAGCCTGAGCTTTTCGAGTGCCTTTGAATAGATCTTTTGCATCTCTTTCTTCATTGTGCTCTTTAGTAACAAAATCCATGCCGTCAAATGTAACTCTAGAATTCCTGTACTGGCTACCAAAGGCAGTGCCGAATCCCCATCCAAGGCCTACTCCAATCCCACAGCCGCCACCTATAAAGAATAATTGTGAAACATATCATCAAGAATTCGGACGCATAGATTTATTTCCATAAAAACATGGTTTTGATTTAGTTTTTACCTACACCAAGACCCAAGAAATTCAAAGGCATGCCTGAGGAAAGATTAAACATTTGGTTAGGTGATGCTATAAAGAAGAATATTTTGCAAAAAGAAAGAGGACTGACAACAAAAGCGAATGAAAAAATTACGCAAAGAGTAAGCAAATAAGATTTTTTTTGTAGATAAGTGAATGAAGAACAGTGCATATTCTTTTCTTTTTCTCTTGGAAAAGGGGGGGGGGGGGGGGTTGTGGAAGCTCGGATGTTTGGACAGAGATATGTCTGAAAACTTAGAAACAACAGCCTTCCTAACCTACTAGATAGCCAAAGATAATCTCCTATTCTTTTCTCTCTAGAAACATGAGGATAATCTATTTCATAAAATAACGATATATTACATGATAAGTTTATCATTTTACATGCGAACAATCAGACACAAGGGAACAAGGAAAAAGAAACTGAGAAATGTGGATAGAGAGATGTAAATGTATGATTTTAAGCAGACAAAGATCCTTGTGAAGAATTAATATGTCATGAGACGTATAGAATATTCAAAGATTTCCTCCATTTCTTGGGAGGTCCTGAATAACCAAGCTGGGAGTAAGAATCCCGAATGGTGCCGATATGGCACAGCCAATCTCAGAAAATCAACAAGAAGACAAAGGTTGCACCAGCAAATTGCGCCAGATCATGCCAACTACCAGTGTTCCGTGCTCTAGACTGGCACCAACAGCGAAACTTAGGTATCTCCGGGAATGCTTGCTTCCCAAATCTACCACTCACATGGTGCTAAAATAATAAATAAGTGACATCTTAGTCGACTAACATATATTGTTTACTGCTACATCTATCCATGCACTTAAGCTCTAGCGAAA